CAAATAAAAATTAAACTGAAAGCTCCAAAATTTCCCCCCTCTATCACTCTCGAAAAAACCACATCTTCTCCCTCTTCTCGAACCTCTCCTCGAACCTTCAGTCCACTTCTCCCTCTTCTCCCTCTTCTCCCTCTTCTCGAACCTTCAGTCCACTTCTTCACTGCACTCTCTTCTCCGCTGTCAGTCCACCTCGCCGGCAGCGAGCCTCTGGTTCAGTGAAACCCGCACTCCACGTCACCACTCGCGATTTGTGTGGATTCAGATTTCATTTGTCGAACACGGTGAGTAATCGAAGCTTTGAGGATTATTTTTGATTTCGTTTTCTCTTTTTGTTGTTTGGAGGTTTGAAATTGTGACTTTGGAAACCCTAGGTTGGTTTCTTCGAAGTGGTAGAGATAAGCTGGAGTTGTAGTTGCGTTTTGCTCCTGGTAAGTTTGAATCGTTTAGATTTGAGGTTTGTTTGAGTTATCTTTTCTCTGGGTGTTGTTACATTGTCCTATTTTTGGTCGTTGTTTTTTCGAGGTTTGAAATCGCGAATTTGGAAACCCTAGGTTGGTTTCTTCGAAGTGGAAGAGATAAGATCGAGCTGCTATTGCCTTCTACATTTGGTAAGTTTGAATTGCTTATATTTTGGTTTCTTTTTATTGGCTGTTATTGAAAATGGGTCTTGACCAAAACTAGTCACTGAAAATGGTTTGCTTCGTTTTGGGTGCTTTTATTGCTTTCAGATATTAGTCATCATGGTTTTGACAATCATGTTAGTGGATCCTATTTTTTCAAAAAAGTGGTAACATGGTTTGAAGTTGTTTCCTGGTTTGAAGTTGTTTCCATTTGAAATGTATATATAACTATATATGGGGCATAATATGGCACGGGAAGGGCATAACAAAGAGTACATATATATTTGCAATAAGTTCAATAATAGTTGCAACATGCAGCTGGCTAGGTAGTTCCTCTAATCTGAAAACAGAGAACAATGTTGGAGGTAGTTCTTCTAATCCTTCCTTACCCCCTTCCAAAGATGGTGGAATATGTTGGAGGCAGTTCCTCCAATCCTAAACATAGTGGCATTAAGGAACAAGACCATTTATTGACAATAGCCAAAATTGGGAGGATCATGAAGCAGATTTTGCCTCCTAATGCAAAAAATACCTTTTTCTACACTCCTAGTTTATTTGCTAAAGCTCTTTGAACACACTGTGTTTTTTTAACACTGTCACAAAAACAATAATTGTTGCACACCAACCAATTCCATCCCAAAATCTACTTTTGTCTTCAAACATCTTAGCTGTCTCCCTCTTGCTGTCATAAAAGAACAACCATGCCTGTGAAATCAACAACCATACCAAAGAAACAAGATAGTTGGCTAAAACTCAATGAACCATGTTTAATGAGTCAAAACAAATGTTAACTTCAGTTTCCTGACTTTGGAACTGATCAATGCTCTCAAAGTGGTGCTCTTACGCTGATTAAAGATGGAACAATGATAAATTCTAGCAAAAGGAGAAATTTGTCAGTTAATTTCATTCATTTTGTTCCAGCTTTTAGAGTTTTCAAACTTAAGGGTGGTCTAATGTGTGTGTAGGGAAATTGACATATATGGGTGGCGTTTTGAGCCTAATGATAATGGAAATGCATATCTAACATACAACTTTGAAAAACCTGCAATGTTTGGAATCCTTACCGTAACCCCATATGGCACATTAAAATTGGTAGAGTTTTATTTTTTAAAAGAACCAAGTTTCTGGAACTTGAGGTGGATCAAAATAAATGTGAATTTTATGGCAAGTGTGAACCCTTTGGAAGTTGTGATAACTCCACATCAACAAATTCCAACTGTTTGGATTTAAGGACTTGGTTATGACTTAATTAGCATCCAACATATATTGCAATAATATTCATTTATTTAACAATATGATTAGTCTAGGCAGAGGACAATACATGAAGCAATGAAGTCATTGGTTACTCAGTAAAATAATTACATATGCATTTTAGTACAGTAGTAGATATGTTACAAAGTTAATGCCCCTCTTTTTTTGTCCATGTACCTTTATGTTGTCCTTGTACTATAAAACTAGTTTTTTTAATTGATACAATGCATGTTGTGACTTGAAATCATCAGGTAAAAAGTTTCCCCATTTTCTGGTCAAACAGTGACATCAAAACCCAAGTAAGTGGTTCTAACCTTTTATTTGTATTTAGTGTGGGGAGGTAAATTAGCCTTGTGATTGTTTGATGTTCAATTGCATTGTGTCATTCTAATTAGTCACTGAAATTTGGTTATGGATGTAGTAAAGTACTGAAATGTGGTTATGGATGTAGTAAAGTATGTTAGTTTTAACATGTGTTGTTTCTATTTTAGTTAATTTGTAGTTTGATGTTCTATTTTAAATTGATATACGATTCTGTATACATATTCCATATTATAAAAACTTTTAATTAAAAGATGTATTACTTATCAAAAGAAATTAAATTAACTAATGTAATAATAATGATCATACTAATATTACAGAGTGATATACAGAGTGAGAGTGATATTATAAGGGATGATAAGTAGAAAAAGGAATATATATATATATATATATATATATATATATATATATATATATAAGATTTGAAAGGAAAGGTGGAAAAGAGAGGCGTGTTGAGGTGTGGCGTGGTGGCTGCTATGGTACATGTGGGTGGCTTCCCTTTGTGATGAACAAGATATGCATCTTATCCTCATTTTGTCTTTTAGTGGTCTTTGATTTAGTCACCCTACTTCTGAATGCCTCACTTCTACGCATGCTATGTGTTGCTCCCAAAACGTAACACCAATCCTTCATTCTCCAAGAAAATAACTCAATGCTTCTCCTTTCCTCTCCAACTTTCCGTATGCGTGCAGCTGCTCCCCAAGACGTGACAGCAGCAACTCTTCTCGGTGACACCCTTCCACCCAATCTTAATTCATATAAGAGCTCTCTTTGCTTCCACCAGTGGCACCTCCAACACGTAACCATGCATACCACTTCACCTACTATGGTCAAACATGCACCTCCAATTCATTCTCAGCATGAACCCAAATTAAATATTCAATTGTAGTACAAAACCAATGTCACATCTACACGACTTTTGCTTCCATCTTCCATTCTCCCATCAAATCAACAAGCTATGACAATTACATCCACTAAAAGAAGAAAACAAAGTAATCTCTAACATGCTGCACGTTAACTTCCACAAAGAGTTAAAATACACTCCTTTTCTCTCCCCAAAACCGTCACACCTATTCCCATCTAGCTTCCACCTTCATTTTTTTATTCATCATGGCATAAGTCACACTTCTAGACAAACTTTTTCTGAATTTTAAAGAATGATGTGTTTTTCATTGCAAAATGCCGTGACCACTTTTCTGTCATCATATCACACTTTCTTCTAACAAAACCAAGAACTTATCTCTTCCTAAAAGCAATTAAATAAATATTCTACTCTTCCATCACAACAAACATTGAGTACAGCCGTGTAGAAGTAAAAAGCTTATGGAATAAAATAAGATGCAAGTAAAATAAGCAACCAAATGCAATTCAAAATGGAAATGATACTACATAAACACGTTAACAGCAAAGAGGGAAGGGTACGTTTTCTTACACATGTTTAGAACAATAAATGTAGTATGTTCGTTTTTTTTATACATATATTTATAAAATATTTTTGTAAATTTCCATTTTTGAGGAAAAAACTAATTTAAAAAATACAATTCATTGACATTCATCAATAAATTATTTGAGATAAAAAAAATAGGGTAACATAATTTAAAAATAAATTTCTCATTAATTACATTTACCCATAACGCAATTTCGAATCAACAAACCTTTTAATCAAGTCATGAATTAAGTAAACTGGTCTAAAAAAATATTTAAGAATATTCTATAAATATCTAATATAGTTCTCTTTGTATTAGAAAAAGAAAAAAAAATATGAATATTTAAAAAATAATAACGTTGTTCTTTGATTTTAATTCACTTTAAATAGTAGAAAAAAATAGAAAAAAAATCTTCAACAATCACAAAAAATATATTTACTTATTTATCAAAATTGAATTATTAAAATAGAAAATCTACTTTATAAATTATTAGCACCTTTTTTTTATCTTTCGATTTTAATGGCTAATCCAAAACTAATATTCTCAAATGTTAAAAACCTCTATTTTATATTATTACCATAAAAATTTAATACCAAACAAATTTTTATATACTCGCAAAATTTTCTATTGGATTTTTTAATACATAAAAAACATCCATGAAAAAAAAATCTAATATTAAATTTTACACTGAAATTTCATTACAACGTTAGAAAAAGGATAACTACACTGATTTAATATATTCAAAAGACAAAAAAAAAAAATGACGACCTAATTTATATAAATTTCATCTTTTTATCTCATCTTTTGTTTTAAAAAATAAAAAGTAAAATTGGTAAAAGTAAAAAGTGTAAATTTGGAATTTAAAAAAAAATGAGAAGGTGTAGAAAGAAGATGGGGTGGTTCAGGGAGCATCACACTCTAACTTTTTCTATTAAACACAGAGCTGTCAAAACGGGTAATCCGGCTCGACCCAGTCCGGCCTACCACGGCTCACTACGGGTTGATTACTTAGTAAGCCAACCCAACCCGACTCACTTATTAGCAAGGTGAAAAAGTTTGAATCGAGTCCGACCCACCACAGGTTGGTGGGTTAAACGGGTTGACTTAGTAGCTCATTTATAGTGTTGTCAAAATAGGTTGTCACTCGCAAGCCAACTCGATCCACCACGGGTTTGAGCTGGGTTGGGTTTAAAAAAAATATAATTTTTTTATACAGGTTAATTTTCTCGGTTCACATTAATTTAATTATTTATTATCTTGTGTTTCAATATTATTAGTTAACCATTTTTTTATTATATTGTATATGAGATAGAAAAATGTTTCAAAAGAAAAAATATTATATCATAGATTTATCTATTCAAAACTCTAATATTATAGATGGACAACTAATAAAAAATTAAATATTAAAAATTTTATTTCTTTGTTTTTTATACTTGTTTGTTTTTGGATTAAGGTATGATATATTTTTTTTTTACTTTGAATCGTCTTTAGAGTTTAACATCATTTTACAATAAAATTTATTTAGATTTGAATAAAAAAATTATAATATTTTAATTTAAAAAAAAAACTTATAATTTTTTTAATTTAAAAAGGAACTTATAATTAAAGGAGCTAAATAAAAAATTATAAATTGATATTAGAAACTGTGACTCTTACTTCATAATAAAAAATCTATAAAATGATGTTAAAAATTATGTAGGACCCTAAACATGGAAACAATTAAGATTAAGACATTGTATAATAAGTTTACCTAGGGAATCCTAAAAAATATCCTTCATTTTAAGGAACTTGTTTAAATTGACTGAAATATGCAGAAAACAAAACACAAATGTGTTACATTCTAAGTCATGTTGGGCTTAATTCCAAGGATGGACATAAGAAATTGGAGTTTCTCCTTGATTTCTAAGGGGTGGATGGAGTTCTCATTGAGAGATGTTGGAGGCTCAACTCCAGTGAAGATGTAAAGAGCCTTCAATTCATCGGCACATGATGCTTCCTTTCTACCTTCATATCCTACTATCTTCCTTATCACATTAATCTCTTTCCACATCTTCTCATCACCCAATACTACCTGCAAAAGCTTCAGTAAACACTCCCATAATAATCAAATATGTTGCAATAAAACTTTTAGTTTATGTATACAAGTTTAATCATACACTAAGTGAATCATTTCCACATAGAATGCAATTAATTAGGCATTGACCTCTTCAGAAGAAGAGATAATGTTTTCTTCAGAGGAGCATTCAGATGGCCAAGACTCTTGTTCTACAGAGGAAACAAGAACTTCCATAGAATCTGTGCATCTGCCAATAATTGAAGATTCTGCAACCATACAAATTAATTCAGATATCAGGGCTCAAAACAAAAGTTAGTCCTCTAGACACTGTAAAATGGCAGACGTATTCTATGGTCCATACCTTCATGCAAATCAATTGTGTATGTCTTCTCATCAGGGTCTATCTGTTTTCCATCAAACAAATCATGTGCACTTTCATTAGCAATTTCTCTAGCTTCTGCATCTTCCAAGTACATCCTTTCATTTAATTCATGCATCTGAGATTCTTGATTTTCTGAGTCCTGAGAAGAGTTCTCATCCATTTGAATGTTATAAACCATCGCTTCTATTGGTGAAGCTTCAATTGGTTCACCTGGAATCAGTATTTCAGAAGGTTCAGCCAATGACTTCCTTGAATCATTTGTAGTGTCAAATTCTTTTCCTTCTAACATGGTATCCATATTTTCATCATTTCTTGAATGAAGCATCTCCTCCCGTAGATTTGGATCTTCTTCCTTTCTCAAGTCTTCTCCAGTTTCCCCAATGGTACTAGCTTCTTCTGCCAATGATTCTTCCATATCTTCAACAGAACCAATTCTTTTACCCCTTTCATCTGCCCCTCTACATATTCCTTCTGCATATTCTCCTCTCTCCCTAGTCTTATCAGTTCTACCCTCATCTCTAATTTTTTCTAACAGTCCCTTTGTTTCTCTTTGTAACTCTGCTTCCTCTATATCACCCTCCATGGGCTGATCCTGGGATTCATGTAAAAACAAAGTTTTAACCTCAAAAGTCTTAAATTCTTCATAGTCCTCACTAAATGGTTGCACTTGCACTCCATTATTTTCTCCTGGTGAGTTTTCCTCAATTCCATCAGTGGCATCTTCTTCTCGTGGACCACACTCACTCCCCACTGTCACATTTTCTCCATTCTTCATACCAAAACCATCGATTTCAATGTCTCTCTTTGCTTCATCTACAAGGGCTTGTTCCTCTCTATATATCTGCATATCATCACAACCACCCTGCTTAAAACATATCCTTTTAAGCAATGGGGGATNAAATTAAGAGAAAGAGAAAGTGAAGGTGAGAAGAGATTGGGATTTGGATTTAAAAACATAAAAAGTAAAATTGGTAAAAGTAAAAAGTGTAAATTTGGAATTTAAAAAAAAAAATGAGAAGGTGTAGAGAGAAGATGGGGTGGTGTAGGGAGCATCAAACTCTAACTTTTTCTATTAAACATAGAGCTGTCAAAACGGGTAATCTGGCTCGACCCAGTCCGGCCTACACGGCTCACTACGGGTTGGTTACTTAGTAAGCCAACCCAACCCGGCTCACTTATTAGCAAGCTAAACAAATTTGAATTGAGTCCGACCCACCACGGGTTGGTGGGTTAAATGGGTTGACTCAGTAGCTCATTTATAGTGTTGTCAAAATAGGTTGTAACCCGCAAGCCAACTCGTTCTATCACGGATTTGAGCTGGGTTGGGTTTAAAAAAAATGTAATTATTTTATGCGGGTTAATTTTCTCGGTTCACTCAAATTAAACCTGTGATAAGTCGGATTGAATTTGTGGTGAACCAGATTAACTCACCAACCCACCTAATTTAATTTAATTATTTATTATTTTGTATTTCAATATTATTAGTTAACCGTTTTTTTATTATATTGTAGATGAGATAGAAAAATGTTTCAAAAGAGAAAAATATTATAAATTTATCTATTCAAGACTCTAATATTATACAACTAATAAAAATTAAATATTAAAAATTTTATTTGTTTGTCTTTTGTACTTATTTTTGGATTTCGCTTGAATTATATCATATATTTTTTTTTACTTTAAATTGTCTTTAACATCATTTTAAAATAAAATTTATTTATATTTGAATTAAAAAAATTATAATATTTTAATTTAAAAAAACTTATAATTTTTTTAATTTAAAAAAGAACTTATAATTAAGGAGCTAAATAAAAAATTATAAATTGCTATTAGAAATTGTGACTCTTACTTCATAATAAAAAATCTATAAAATGATATTAAAAATTATGTAGGACCCTAAACATGGCAACAATTAAGATTAAGACATTGTATAATAAGTTTACCTAGGGAATCCTACAAAATATCCTTCATTTTAAGGAACTTGTTTAAATTGACTGAAATATGCAGAAAACAAAACACAAATGTGTTACATTCTAAGTCATGTTGGGCTTAATTCCAAGGATGGACATAAGAAATTGGAGTTTCTCCTTGATTTCTAAGGGGTGGATGGAGTTCTCATTGAGAGATGTTGGAGGCTCAACTCCAGTGAAGATGTAAAGAGCCTTCAATTCATCGGCACATGATGCTTCCTTTCTACCTTCATATCCTACTATCTTCCTTATCACATTAATCTCTTTCCACATCTTCTCATCACCCAATACTACCTGCAAAAGCTTCAGTAAACACTCCCATAATAATCAAATATGTTGCAATAAAACTTTTAGTTTATGTATACAAGTTTAATCATACACTAAGTGAATCATTTCCACATAGAATGCAATTAATTAGGCATTGACCTCTTCAGAAGAAGAGATAATGTTTTCTTCAGAGGAGCATTCAGATGGCCAAGACTCTTGTTCTACAGAGGAAACAAGAACTTCCATAGAATCTGTGCATCTGCCAATAATTGAAGATTCTGCAACCATACAAATTAATTCAGATATCAGGGCTCAAAACAAAAGTTAGTCCTCTAGACACTGTAAAATGGCAGACGTATTCTATGGTCCATACCTTCATGCAAATCAATTGTGTATGTCTTCTCATCAGGGTCTATCTGTTTTCCATCAAACAAATCATGTGCACTTTCATTAGCAATTTCTCTAGCTTCTGCATCTTCCAAGTACATCCTTTCATTTAATTCATGCATCTGAGATTCTTGATTTTCTGAGTCCTGAGAAGAGTTCTCATCCATTTGAATGTTATAAACCATCGCTTCTATTGGTGAAGCTTCAATTGGTTCACCTGGAATCAGTATTTCAGAAGGTTCAGCCAATGACTTCCTTGAATCATTTGTAGTGTCAAATTCTTTTCCTTCTAACATGGTATCCATATTTTCATCATTTCTTGAATGAAGCATCTCCTCCCGTAGATTTGGATCTTCTTCCTTTCTCAAGTCTTCTCCAGTTTCCCCAATGGTACTAGCTTCTTCTGCCAATGATTCTTCCATATCTTCAACAGAACCAATTCTTTTACCCCTTTCATCTGCCCCTCTACATATTCCTTCTGCATATTCTCCTCTCTCCCTAGTCTTATCAGTTCTACCCTCATCTCTAATTTTTTCTAACAGTCCCTTTGTTTCTCTTTGTAACTCTGCTTCCTCTATATCACCCTCCATGGGCTGATCCTGGGATTCATGTAAAAACAAAGTTTTAACCTCAAAAGTCTTAAATTCTTCATAGTCCTCACTAAATGGTTGCACTTGCACTCCATTATTTTCTCCTGGTGAGTTTTCCTCAATTCCATCAGTGGCATCTTCTTCTCGTGGACCACACTCACTCCCCACTGTCACATTTTCTCCATTCTTCATACCAAAACCATCGATTTCAATGTCTCTCTTTGCTTCATCTACAAGGGCTTGTTCCTCTCTATATATCTGCATATCATCACAACCACCCTGCTTAAAACATATCCTTTTAAGCAATGGGGGATCCTGGAGAGTAGGCCTAGGGAGCAATTTACTCATTAAATTCTGAGTGCATACATGGCTAGCCAAGAAAACTGCATAAGGCATAGAAAGAGCAATGACAATAACAGAAGCCACCGCAAGAGGTGGAACAAGCACAGGAGCAGCTGAAGCTATGAAACCAGCCACTAAGATCTTCTTTCCAACACAGACTCCCATTTTGAGCAGCCACCTCATCATGCAACCATTTGCAGCATTACTTTTGGACGAGTATTTTCTAGTATCCCACTCTTCATCTTCCGCTTCTTCAAATTCCATCCTATAATATATACACCAACAAATGCTATTGAAAGTTGAAAAAAAAACTTGTGATATGTCTAGAGATTAAAGAGGTTTTCTCTATGCATGTCTATACGCCTTACATCAACATTACTAATTAGCAAGTGAATAGAGTGAAAACGGTAAGAGAACGATGCAGTCCAGGAAGAGAGGGAAGATAATAGAAGAATGTGGATCAGAGTTGTACCTGAACAGATTGTAAGATAAACAAGCTTGAAATCCCTAACCTCTAAAGGCTAACATCCTACTGTGTTTTTCATCTTCGTTCTGATTCTCAGCAGCATGTTGGGCAAAATGACAAGTGTGTGTCTGATTCATTATTACAATATAGTTGTTGATGACACGTGCTATAAAGAGAGGGTTCAGTTGACAAATGTAGGCTAAGGAGAGTGCCACCTCGGTTTTATTTTGCATGTAACATTCAATATTATATAGAAATGATACGTTGAAATTATTTTCTTTACTTTTTACTAATTTTTTTAAAGTAAAAAATTTACTATTTTATAACTATTTTATTATTATAATATGTGAAAAATAAATATAAATATATTTCATTTTATCATTATTCCAATATCATATTATCATTAGTGTAATATCTTATTTATGTATTAATCATGCAATTATTCATCTAAGTATTATAATATTGAACTATTTTTCACGTGCTTTCAATTTGATTATGCTATTAGATAGTTTATGAGTTTAACCATGCCAATAGTGTAAAACAAGTTTTATATAATTATTTTGTATAGTTGTCGAGTCACACACAGAACGGGTTTTCAAGGAGATTAATTCTAATGATAAACAATTTAAAATAAAATGTAATTACTGTGTTCTAATTAGGTTATTTTTAATCAAATCTATAAATATAAATCTATAAATATATATAAGGTAAAAAAAATAAGTGATTGTATTTGATACTTATTTAATAATTAAATTGTTTTTAACATGAAAACACCTCCTGACACTGTAAAACAAATGACTACTATGAATTAGGAGACCATAACTATCACATAGATATTAGACCTTAATCTCAATTCCCATGTCGAAACAATTATAAATGATATATATAATTTTTAAAAAGTTATTGAAAATTAAACAAATTTATTATATAATAATTTATATTTAGATAATAATATAAAACTATTTTCCAAACTAATGTCATAACGTTTTCTTTTCTTTTCATAAAAAGTTT